TCTAGGGCTACTATAACAGATCCATAGTGTGGGATAATTTCCCATCTTACATGCACTCTTTTTTAAAAAAAAACTAGGAATATAAGCAAAAACAGCTTGTAAGTATTATAAGTCTTGTCAGAAGCTTAGCTGCCTTGGAAAGCAGGCAAGCCAGAACCTGCAGAACAGGAAAAACCTTCTGTATGGAATTCTGATTGCACTGTTGTTCACCCAAGCAGATAAGGGTTGACAGCCCTCTGTGCAGGGGAACAATTCTAAGGTGACGTGTATGGAAAACTGCATCTTACAGCGGGTGGCTTCCAAACTACAAGGAAACAAGGCTGTTTAGCTTAATTCTTATAATTGAGTGCTTGTAAGAATAGATTACCCCCTTGCTTCATCTGTTGATTTTTAACTCTATAGAAATGAAGTTTGGAATGCATGGTTGCTTAAGATATAATGTAGTTTGTTTTAGTTTTTTAGATTTGGTGTTTCCTTTTAAGGTTGGAATCGGAATAGAGAATGTTAATTATAGATTCTTGATTAATGTGGTGTACATGATTTACTGACTATATAAGGCTTTTGGAAATAAAAATGATTTGCTGCTTGCCATCTCAGAGCAGTAGTCTGTTTCTTGCTCTCATATAATTTTAGGTGCAGACTTACACCTGGGCAAGGCTCTCTCCATTCTCTTACAGAACCTTCCACCAACACCATAGTTATCATAAAGTTAAGTCACTCTATCTGCTTTTCTAGCAGATCGTCTAAATCCTCAGAATGACTTCAGGGTCTAAGATAATTGTTTAGTCTCCAACAATCATGTGTGATACAGATGAAAAAGAGGAAAAGTTGAAAGGCATAAGGGGGCTATCTGTTTCCTTTCTAGTGGGGATCTTTCCCCACTAGACTTTTTCAACAATTTCCATTTCCATTACTCAGAAAATTATTAGCATGGTCACAATTAGCTACAAAGGTTGGGGGGATGTACCTTTTTGAGTGGGATCATTACTACTGTAAATAATACAATGATTCTATTGGTAACGAGCAATGAATATTGGGCCCACTACCAGTCAACTGTTAAACCTAATTACATCAGGACGTTTTTTTTGCTAGCTATACATTAGTTTGCTACATTTAGAATGCTAAACTCTATGTTCACAAATATGGTTTGCAAGTTATTTTTTCTCACAAATGTCTACTTGATGGGACAGTTGTAAAATCCTAGGGTTATCTTTCCTTACAACTAAGCCTATTCCTAAAAAGTCTTCAGAACCTCTCTTTTCTGGGACTGGAGTCAGAATAGAAGACTAGGTATATACAGAGGGTGCCAATATACATATACATGCATATATATATGTGTGTGTGTGTGTATATATATATATATACATATATATATATATATATTTTTTGTAAAACAAACTGTGTTAAAGTTGTAATACTTAAGTCATGTTTGACTTCTGCAACTACAGGCAATGCTCAGTGTGACTTGTACTCATTTTTGTTATCAGTATATACTGAGTATTAAATTTTTAATATGGGTTTTTCCTTTCTTAAAATGGATATACATTTTTTACACCCTCTATATATTATAAAAGCCAGTGACTAGATTTCTGTTAATCTATTTTGTTTACTGCCTGTAGATTAACTAACTCCTAAGTTTCATTATATGGTAAAATTTTCATTTCACATAAGAAAAAGATGTAATCCAGTATTGTTCTTTCTCACAGTATCTGAATGCTATCTTCCATATCATGTCAACATTGCTGGCTTCTACTGAGCATTGTAGCAAGCAGATATTCATCAGACAAATCAAACTAAACTCCAACTAACCCTGGGTAATAGTAAATTGAAACTTTCCCTTATGAGTTTATTTGGTCTTCCTCGGTACATTAATAGCAAAGTACACTTTTACAAAATTTCCCAGATTTGAGGGACATTAGCAAATATCTGCAATTCCTTATTAAAGCTTTCTCTTTCATTCTGTGAATCATTGTTTTTCATCCCAAGTATCTTCAGATTGGATTCTGTATAATGAGTGGGTCACAATAAACAGTAGGCATTCAGAAATTAATTCCTATTAGTAGTGGGCCCAATATTCCTTGCTCATTACCATTCAAAGAAGAAACAGTTTCTTTGCATAAAATAAGGTATTCTCTCCTCTAATAGAATACAAAATGGAGGTTGTTTCAGAAATATGTGTAGTACTGAATTCTTGTATTCCTCTAAGAAGCCCACATCTAACTACCAAGGTCATACTCTTTCCAGATTAATGCCTGTTTAGAGAAGGAATCTGATGAAGTTATGAAGAAAACTGACTTTCTGAGTAAGCAACTGATGGAATGACTTCTTGACACTCTTTTAACACTACAGTGATACGTAAATATAACACACAACCTTGAACTGAGGTTTTGAATTCATTGCCCATGTTATCCATGGCCATAAGAAGCATTCATTTCCTCACTACAATTCAGAATTCTTACTATGTTTAAAAAAAAAATTTTTTTTCCAGTTTTTGGCTAAGGCTGGGTTTGAACCCGCCACCTCCAGTATATGGTGCCTTACTCCTTTGAGCCACAGGAGCTGCCCAGATGTTCAAATTTTTTAATAGCAGCTCCTCCATTTTCCCAGAGCCTCAGTGAGCATGTGGCTGCATTTAACAATAGTTTCACTAGTTCTTATGGGACTAGTTTCTGCCATAGAATATGAAAGGAGACTTCAGAAACTTCCATTATGTCTTGGACATAATGGTAAAATTTTCTAAATATCCATATATCCTTGCAAGCTTCTGACTGCACTTTATACTCCAGTACTCATTTCTGAAGCAGTATGAGTTATTCAGTTGTAAACAATAGAATACAAAATGTATTAAAATGATACCAAGTAACTCAAGTTAAAAGATAAAAGAACTAGGTTAAGAAAATAACAGAAATAACAGTAACTAAAGCTACTATGGCTTATCTCTACAGAAATAATTAGTGAAAAATCACATCTAAATATGACCATAGAATAAAAGCTTAGTCATTTTTCTGTACTTTCAAAATCTGAAAAAACTGTAATGTTCCAAGTGTCTCAGCCACCCTTAGTGACCATGCCATGTCCTTGGCAAGGCATCTTGAATGATAATTCCAGTGTGGCTGCATACACTGTGAGGTCATATTTCTCAGAAAAGAAATCAAGACTTTCTAACCAGTGAGGATAGACTAGATTCCTAGCTACACAAGCAAATGAAATGTATACTACATTAGTTCCTATAACTAAAAGCTGTTATAGGAACTGTTTACAAGGGTAGAAAATAAGAGAAAATGTTTGTAATGTATAGATGTATTTTTAACAAGCCATATTATTCTAGTAACAAGTTCCATTTGATTAGAATAAAAGAAACAATGTTGGCATACATAGCACAAATGCCTGGTATTGTACCTACTAATTTCTTTCACATGTGGCATTCACAAGTAAAATGCCAAAATACACAAAATACATACTATGGAGTATGTATAAAATATCTAAATACCCATGAGGTCTTTGGATGAATTCCTTACTATTAACTGTATTATTAAATTTATATACTAAATTCATTACCTTCTTATAAACATTTATAGTTCTCCATTTTCTCCAATACTTTCCTAAAATTTTGGAAAACATGGAATATAACTTCCCTTAGAATAATTTTTATATGAAGGGTGTTGTCTGTAGCTCAGTGGGTAGGGTGCTGGCTCCATATACTGAGGTGGCAGGTTCAAACCTGGCCCAGGCCAAACTATAATAAAAGAATAGCTGGGCATTGTGGTGGGCACCTATAGTCCCAGCTACTTGGGTGGCTGAGGCAAGAGAATCACCTAAGCCCACACGTTGGAGGTTGCTGTGAGCTGGGTGACACCACAGCACCTGTCAAGGGTAACAAAGTAAGACTCTGTCTCTACAAAAAAATAATAATTTCTATAAGAAAATGCTCCAGGCTCGACACCTGTGGCTCAAG